TATTGGTATATATCGCGCTGGTATGTTACGTACATAGGATCAGAGGAAGAAAAAGATAGATAGATAGAGAGACAGATAGAGAGAGTGAATGAGTGAGTGGGATAAGCCGAACGATGATAGCAGGCTGTCGCAAGTAGTGCTATAAAAATTATTTCAACAAATTTTGCATTACGGGTTCAGCCGGTTTCATCTACTACTACTATTGCTATTATTGTTGGTACTACTGCTACAACTACTACTGCTACTATTACTACTATTGCTATTGTTTAGTGTTAGGTGCATAAATATGAATTTATATTTTTTCACAAATTTAATAAATGAAAAAATCGAAAACTAATCAATTTTTATGCACACTACCGATAATTTGTAAGCATATTCCTTTTTTGTCGAATTGTTTTGCAACATCCAGATGGAGACTAAGAAATCCTGGGAAGTGTACATATTTTTAATCAGTATCAATTTCTAAACCAATTTATGTCCGTCCATCTGTCCGCCCACGAATATATATATATATATATCCTATATCCCATATATAAGTACAAACACAAATGCAATTGAGAAAAAGTGAAAGAAATGTCAATAGTTCCAATATATCTTTATTATCCAAAATTTGAATTGCAATTAATCGTGATTTGATATTTAGCGTAAATCGTTATTAAAATATTGGATTGTACTTATTAAACAAAAAAAAAGAAACCGAAAGTCGATATGTAATTGATCCTGAGCCATGAACTTGGAATAAATGAAATTTTCCCACACGTTTAATAGACGTAACATTCGCTCTTCTACATGAGACGCTGTAAAACATGTATATATATTTACATGTATATATATATATATATATATACATGTATATATATATATTATATCATATTTTTTTTGCTCTTTTTTATTACTTCCGACGTAATCTTTAGGTTATTGACAGTTTAAGTGCATACCTTACGCTCTATGCTTAACATGTATTTTTCTACGGCGGCATTGCTTTGCTGGCTTAGCGCCAATACTTTTTTTTCTTGTTTTGATAGCTCTGCTCGATTCCAAGTAATAACGACTACAAATTGTTTAGAGTGTTATTTGAAGCAAATGTTTTAACTTTTCTATAAATACTGATTAAAAATAAATAAATGAATTTTAGGAAATTTTTTAAACGCTTGAAATTCCTTACTAAGTAACTTAACCACGCGGCTACAAGAAATGGAATTCGTAAATATTGAAATCATAAAGCACTTCAAAACGGAACCCATTTATAATATCTGCGAATGCCTCTTAAATGCAATGACGTTGAATAATGCGAATATATCGAAAACTTTTCTAGGCCGATCAGTCAAATATACGCTTATGCATTATGTATCAATCTTCGATGCTAAATAACTGTCATTTCCTACCTTATAGTCGGAATGTGATGAAATCTTGATACTTAGTATCGTTCAATGAATTGATACTATCCAAAAGTGATATGGATTCATACTGCGAATTTATTGAGTGACTGAATGATGATGTGTATGTTACAACAGCTAATGTTAAAACACTTTTATAGATCATTAACACTGATTAACACTGACACCTTTAAAGGGTAACTATTACGTTCTTGCTCATCCCTGGACAACGTCGCGTAATACTGTTCTTTCTTTCAACGACTGTCAAGCGTACAATGATCAAGTCAATTAATTTCGAAATTAATTTTTTTAATTATAAGAAATTCAAATAATGTATTTTTGTTAAAAGAAGGCATAAAAATCGGTCGACATTCTCTTTGAATGATTGACTTTTATATTGATCAGGGATATATTCATTTTGGTAAAACGTTTGCAAAGCCCAGAAGAGAGAATCAGAGACCCCACAAATTATATATGTATATATATTCTTGATCAACATCACACATGAAAAAAATTGACCATGCCTATCCAATATTATAATGTATTCGAAATTTGACTTCTTTCTCTTAACACCTGTATAGCGCGCAGAAGTAAGATGCAAAAGTCGCATAAAGTGTATAAATTCTTGGCCAGTTACAACCCTTGCATGCACGTAAACATGTCCGCCTGTTGATCTGTCCATCTGTCTGTTTACGCAACTTTGTTGTATCTGTGGTAAGCATTGCCCTGTTAGCGAAAGTAAGAGATGTTGTCGACAAATTTACAAAAGAATTTCGAATTGATATAGACTTTTCAAAGGACATGCCGTGGACAACGCCCACATGCCTACACGACAAAAACTTTTATTTTGAAAATAGAAGAAATTAACTGCGTCTTTTGCTCTTTTACTTCTTTTGTCTTTTTTTTTTTTTTTTTTTTTTTCTTTTGGGTTAACCGGTGATGGGTATAAAAGATTCGGTCCCGACAGAATATAATTTTCTTACTTCTTATTAAGTTCATTGGGTCATTACTCAATATCTTTTTTCTGCATTTCATATATGGAAAGTTTATGGGCCAAGATATACATTGTATATAAAGTGGATATTTTGATTTAAAACGGATATAATCGTCCAATCGAAATTTTCAATCTGCCATCGATGTTTGTTGTTTGCCTGTTGCACACAGAAGCACTTTTCGGAGCACTTTGTGAGATTCTGATTGCTTTTCGACCCACGGCTTCATGCGTTTTGTTGGTGTCTTGATGAAATTGGTCCAAAAGGTTGAAACTTGGTTAAAACATTTTTCGGATCAATTTCATAGATCACCATCTGCCCACAGTATTTAAAAGTTTGTGACACAATTGTGTAAACCAAGTATTCTTTTAATAACTAGCAACAACAAGGTATTAGGATGATCATCTGTAAAATATTGTGCATATACGTGTCGGGATCGTGTTTTTTTTTTTTTTTTTTTTTTTTTTTTTTTTTTTTTT